CCAGCATATGTAATTTACTAACAGTAACAGCACCAATTTGCTAAATCACAATGCTCTTTTAGTAATGGCACTGATTCAAATCACATTTCTTATGATGTTTCTACAAAACACCAAAAATAAACTCTCAGAGTGACAAAACGTTTAAAATATGGCATGTAGAGAAAGGCACAATCCACAAAAACCAGAATTCCTAAAAGACTTGCAATGTCTTATTGATTCTAATACAGAAGCTGAAAAAAATCCCACTCTCCAAAACAGCCACAGAAAAGCTGTCAAATAATTCAGTACAGGAGATAAGATTAAAATGGAACATAGTCAGATACACAGCAGATCATCCACACAGATGGCAGCTTCTTCTCAGCAACATCATCCTGCATGTCAGAAATGTAAGACCCTGAGTATCAGAAAAGAATTCTCAGAAACTGTCACAGAAAGCTTCTCTGACTCAGGGATCTGTAACAGAAGTCACTGCTACTTCTTATGCAGAGTTGAAAGGGGAGATCAGGCATACAGCATGCTCTATCTAACACTGTTAGCACCATAACTTCCTCTTGGACATAACTTCTTTTCTTGATAATGAGTTGGCAACCATTGTAAAACACAAGTATGTAACAGTACAAAGTAAACTGGACTTATGGCTCAGTCACATTCAATGTAGGTGGCTCAGAAAAATCATGCAATACTAAGTCTGGTGCAAAACACCTCAGAATCTCCTGCCTCATGGCTACACCTTCGGAGCCACTGAAAGGCATCACCTATATACTGCCAGTTCTCTTTTCCCTCTTCCATATATATACAGCACATACAGAAGCAGAAGAAATTTCTATTTCAGCTATCAGAAAGCAAAACTGAAATTCAGTGCCATGGAGCAGTGAGTCTGACAGCCTTCTTCCAAGCACTGACAAGGCAGGAGCAGAGGAGGAGTGACTTGTTTTATCTTGTTCAACAGCAGGTTCTGAAAACTAGACATTTTGGCAGTCTGTGACCATGAAATTTCACCAGCATGTCACTTTTTATGTTCCTGTGCTAACACTCTAAACTCACGATGGATCCAGAACTAATGACTTTCCCGCTTTTCTTTTGGCTACTGAATGGAAGTTTGGTATCACTCAACCACTCTATCTGCAATACATGTACAACGTGATGCAACCCATGCCCTGCATCCAGTCACTGGGAGAAGGGACAGACAACTGGCATCACAGAATTCTTGCATGTTAACAAATACTGACTTCAGTGCTACTTTTCACTATGCAGGGCGTACAGGGAATCAGTCTAGTCACACACCACTCTTGAAAGAGGTCAAGGCAATGAATACTGCTTAGATGAATGATTACAGAATGAGTACTGGTATGGTTTAAGAATCTACTGAGGGTCAAGACATCAGTATAGAAAAACAGTATCTGACATCGATGAATGCTGCACAATACACGACATGTCCCCACAACTCTGTGGTCATTACAGGGCTGTGATCACTTCTGAACCAAGCAGCCAGACACAGAGACCCCCTTCCTTTTTCACTGCAAGGGTTATTTACAGGAGCCTCTACAGTTTTCAAAACAGTGTTTCTTCATCATTTCTTAAGGAAGGGGACATGGACTTTACTTACTCTGTCATGCATTAAGGTGAAGAACATGTACACTTCATAACTCCTAAACCAAACCTACATTGTCACAAAACTATCAGAAACAGAATATATTCTATTGCTAATATTTTAACTAAATAGTTGTATTTAGCATCACTCAAAAAACTCCCAAACAACTAACCCACAAAACCCCATCACATCATTAGATCCTGTAAGGATAGCCACTATTATTCTTACTTCCTTTCTCCCTTTTCTCCTGTTTTCTTCTTTCTCCTTCCAATATTGACATTGTATTTCTCCTCTAAATCTTCTTTTCCCTACTTGTTCTTCTCTTGTGTCTCCCTGTCATTCCCCTTCTTGTTCCTGCTTGAAATCTTCGTATTTCTTTCCCTCATCTCTCTGCCTCCTCTTGATTCCATTCTCCCTGCTTTTGGTTGTCTATAAGGCCGCAGAAGTCCTTATCACATGCAAAAGCTAGTAAGGGAAATGGGGAAAAGTGAGGTTAATCTGTGAAAGAAATCACATTTATTAACATCACATAGATATCTATGATAACATTGTATAGCTACAACCAAGGAAAACGTATGTTTCACCATTTGTTTCATTTACCACCATTTGCTTACTGTTTACAGGAAGTAACTTCTAAGATTCCAAATCTGTCATTTTATAATCCTTCTCTTACCTCATGACACATAGGCAAGGTAGAGTTTCAAAATTACACTTGTGCTTTATTTTATTGTAAGATAGTCAGTTATTAAATATTCAGGGTTAGAAATGAATGCTATTTTTATTACCTTTCACATATAATATAGACGCTTCTGTTGACGCAATGCAGTAAGTTCTCTACTTGAGCGTGTGGAATACATATTAATGTAATTTTAAGACACAGTATTTTTAAAGCCAGAAGCAATATGGCACTAGTTTAAAAAAAACAACCAGTTCAATAGGCCCTTTCTTAGAAAACAGTAAACAAAGGAAGACCCGTCCCCTCTCCCTGCCCTGCAATGATGTATTTATTTCCACACCTATAACATCATGAAATTGGATTTAGTATTTTTAATCTAACGCTCATAGAGAACAAGCTTATAGAGAATGTCTGAATTTTGAAAAAAAATTTCTGTTTTTCCTCGTATGCCTGTGCCTACATAAAATTACAGTACACAAATAACACATGTACACATAGTTTAACATGAAATTTTGGGTTGCATTTCCCATTTCAAAACTATTAAACAGTTTCCATATACTTCTATTAAAGAGGACACCATAGCTTTTCAAAGTGGAAACAGAAAAGTATGGAAAGCATAGGCTTGCAATACAGGTGAATTATTTTTCTAAATTGTGCAAAAATTTCTTCTCATCACAACTGTGTAACTTTCTAGAGTTAACATGCAAATAAAACTGAACACGAAATTTCAAAAAAGATAACGAGTGAAGAGTTAATGATATAAAATGTACTTTATGTATTATACAAAATGGTACATTAATATAAATAAATAGGTATTTTAATCTTAATATTTTATATGGGTAGTTAAAGACAGTAGGGTAAAACTTCTTCAGTGGGTTTCTTCTCTTTATATACTCTTAACAATCCTCATCAATCAGCAGTTCAGGAACCTCTTAAGCTAGGAAGAGACTGGGTCTACATCACATAACAAGGAAGGACTCCTGAGCACTTTTTAGACTTTGATACCTACTCTTTGCCAAATAAAAGTGATTTTTGCTTTCAATTATAGAAGCTACTTGAAAACTAATTTTTTCTGAATGAAACTTAAGAAGCCTGGCTTCAAAAAACGTTAATAAAAACCATGTCAAACCAACACTTAAGAAGTACGATGCAATATCGAGGAATAAAAAAAAGTCACTGCTACCAGAGTAAGTTTACTGGTGAAGCCCTCCTAATTATTATCAATATACTGTTAGTATACAGTGTATAGTATCAATAGGCTAGCTGCCTGTTAGACTTGGTCTACAATGAGAAGCATTGTTGGTGAAGTTATACATGTAAGCACGCCTGCTTTTTGCTCAAATCAAATGCACCTGCACTAGCAAAAAAAAAAAATCTTTTTACAGTGTATTTGCTCAAGGAACTAGCATACCCTGTATTAGCAAAAACCTCTTTCCTTTCTGCTTGCGTGAAACACATGCCAGAAGGATGTATGGTGTAACTCCACCAGAAAACAAGCAAGGCATGCCAAGGCCTTGAACATTTTTCCTGGACAGGAGACTGCATTAGGAGTATTAAAAGTTTGCAAGTGGCTTACTTTAGGAGGGAAGAGAATGTCATAAATTCAGTGACAAAATTTCAATACAACTCATCCAGGTTATACTGTTAGATAACAGGCAGGTTAACTGAACTCTTCATGTTAGGCATCTGCTCCACTGGAGAAAAATTTCTGTATTTAGGACAATTTTCACTCATGCCTTTTTCAGAAGAAAAAAGGCAACTTGAAAAAAAAATAAAAATCAATTAATAAAGACATATGCTTTTTCATAAGCAAAAGCAGGGAGGGTGGGGTGTTTAATTTAATCCAGTCTTCAGAGCCAGTGGTTGCTACACAACACTTAGCTTCAAATACAATAAAGTGTACTTTTACAACTATGCCTGGTGCAACAAGTGTGAATCATGTTTCAGCTTCCACAAAACATCTGCCATTTTTTTAACTGTGTGGTAGATTACAGTAAAGCCCTGCCACATGTAGACTTATTTTTGCATCAGCAGAAAACTGCCCAAAACACGGCAGACTGTCTCACTTATTAACATTGTGTGCTGTGGACAGTACTGGTAGCACAGGGTTCTGCGTGAATCACAACCTCTAATGCAGCATGCAGATGGAATCCAAATTCAAATCCATTGCTCTCCTCCTTCTGTTTTGCTAGTCTGGGGAGGCATGCAAGCCAGAACTTGTTAATGAAGAACTGGTGCTGCTGGGTAGGCGTTCTTTCCTGACACATTCTCCATTATTAGATGCTGGGGAAAGTACCCAGTGAATTTTAGTGGTTTGCACTGGCTTGTATTTGTTTTAAGCACAAACAGAAGAACCTAGATCAGTGCACTGCTAATAGGTATGCTAAAATCAGCCAATGAAACAATAAAAACACAAAACCCTGGAAAACCCAACAGCTACACAGTTTAGATCTATGTCCACCCTGTTTACCTGTTGTACTTGGTTGTAAGATCTGTTGCAGTGCTGTATGATAGCTGCCATTCTCGTCCAAGTTTTCAGAGCCTTCTGCATTAAAATATGAAATCTAGTGCCTTAACACAACAAAATGCTTCTAAATCCCTGGGTTTGGAAGCAATAGGCACTTTAGATATACATGCAATAACAATGCATAAAGTAAAAATATGTGTGAAATTGTCTGGATCGTAGTAAGTGTTTCTCATTAGCCACTTCAGACACGTCCTTTCCAACAGCAGTTAAGTGGGAGAAAGAAAAAGTTTCTTCCTCAGTGTATGCTGGAGCAGAAGTGAGTATTGTTGGCTTGGGTCAGTGGTCTTATTCCATTCATAGACTTTTCTGTTCAGTTCCGTATGGATATCTAATATAGAGAGTTTCCTGCAGCAACAAAAGTAAAAGCTTTCTATTAGGGAATGAAACAAGACATCATTTAAGAATCTAAAAGACAGAAGACAACTTTAGACTCAGCAAGTAGAAAGTTTCAAATTTCAGCCTTTATTGCAGGGATTACACCTCTAAAACCCAAGGCTGAATATGCATTTTGGAGACAATCTGTTATAACTCAAACCACTGTTGTGATATTGGTTACGCTGACATGATCTGCAATTTCATTACAAGGTTTTATGGTTTGTAAAAAGGTACTAAATGTTAACCCCACAATTACCTTGAAAAACACTTGCTAACTCCCTGGTAGATCAGTTGTACAAAGACGACCTTTATTGTTATGTTATATATCCAAACATATCTGCTTTTTGCTCAGATTCCCTTTTGATAATCTCTTTAAACAGACTGAAGTTTTCTGATAGTTTAAATTCAAGATTACAAACTGGCAGTCTAGTGGCTCCCTGAGCAGAGGGTTAATCAGATCTAAAGAAAGGACAAAATCCTTCCCTCTCAACTGCCTTTTCCCCAAACATAGGCAGACATTTATACTTGCAAGCAGAGCCCTTCTTAATGATAAAAGGCAATCCTCAATTTGACAGAAGCCTGGTATATGCCTTACTATCTTGGAGAAGGAAGATTTCCAATCCTGTCTAAAGCACTTACATGTATTACCCAGGACAGGTTCCTCCCTTCTCACTCTGCAAGCCCCAGTACCATAACACACTTCAATTTTACTCTCCAGAATGAGAAACTTCACTCCTACTTCAGACTACCTTCCTGTGCCATTGTTCCAGGATCAGGTATACTCGTCTTTTAACCTATGATGCAGCATGAAGACACTTTTCAGTGTCTTTTCATCCCAGACAGGATGAAACGTAAGGTTTCTCTTTCTCTAGGACAGCAGGCTGTCATAGGGAAAGGGTTATTTTCCCTTCTTTATTTACCTTTTATGGGGATTGCAGAGCAGCTCTGCCAGACAACGCAGATAATATGAGGATGAACTTGGTGATTTTTCTAGTGTAGACACATCCACCTTGCACTGACTCCAAAAGATGTCTGCTACTTGGGGGATAGTGACTTGCCAAGGGATTTTTGCGTTAGCAATGATTTTCTCATCATTCCCATCTACTTCCAACAGACTAGTACATTCTTGCTCATTTTCTGGCACAATGTAGCTCTGAATAAAAAAAAGCTTTGGTTTTCCTAGGAGTTCAGGACATGAGTCTGCTGTAAAGTATTTCTTTACTTGTTCCAAAGGGAATCCAGAAGAGGTATGGTCTGTACAGAAGATGCTCTGAGGACTTCCACGGCTGACCAATATGCAAACGAAGCTGTCACAATTTCTGTGCTTCTGCAACCGTGCAACTTCAAGCAATGTTTGATTCATGGTGTTCATATTTAAATATCTGTGACAACGGACATCATAACCTAAGCCTCTGAAGGTCTCTTCCAACACATCTGGAAAAAAGCAGCATGTAATTAAATCACAGCTCATCAAGGCTCAATCTCAACTATGTTGAATTACAGTATTTACAGTATTTTGCTATTGGAAATAAGACAATTCATCACAATAATTAAAAAATCTGGAGTACTTGATGTTGATCACAGTACATTACATACTTATATGCATGTTGTCTTTAGTATGAGTTATGTACTTCATGATAGCAAAGACACTATTATTTGGCACATGATCTGTTCCAAATTCCACAGACACTTGCATGCTTTCATTTAGAGCCAGTATCCCAAGTTCCTAGGACTTAAAATATCATGCAAGAGAAAACATTAGAAAATGCTTCACACAGAACATTCTTGAAATGGTAAGGAATGATCTGGATAGCATGGGAAGTCTGTTTCACCTTTTTAAGTTGTCAAAATTACTCAGAATGGTTATTATAGATATACAGAACTGCATAGAAAACAGAGATGCTCCCTTTCATCAGTCAAAAAAGAACCTGCTGCAGTCATTTATGTTTTCTATTATATAAAATGGACTTTAAGTGCTGAGTTCCAGGTGGAAAATGGACACGACAGTCTTAACTGTGACAGAATGGCATTTTCGGGGAGGGGGGGAAAAAAAAGCTGAACAATGAACCCTTTCAAATGTGTTAGAAATCAAAACTGTAGATAGGAAAAAAAAAAAAAATCAAGATTTAACTCTACTGTATTTTTGTTAAACCTGTTCTGCAGGAAAATGTGCTATTCTCTGAATAACTACTTTGGATGTTTATTAATATGGGAGTGATACCAGATACATGGTTGTTAAAACCGCAGGTATTTTTTAAGTAGTTTGTGGTTCTCTGAACACTACGACTCATACCTGTAGCATCATATCTTTAGTATAACCACATATACATTGCCCATGCACAGTTTCTGATATTACAGGAAATACCAAGTGTCATGTTTATCTAAAATGCCTTACAGACACAGGAAGCTAGACTGTTCCTTGAGTTCAAAAGTTAACAATCCCTAATTAGCAGGGGCTATTTCAGAGGTAACTAGCAGCAAAGCAGGAGTTGTACTACCACACTGTTCTCCTCAAAAAGCACATCGTGAAAACAAGAAACGTAACTTTCCTCAGCAAAATACAGGGTAGATACAAACTCTATACTATAGCAAGGTGATAAACAGGAACTATAGAGTTTCATTCCCGTCCTGTTGCTTTGATTAAATTTTGTAAAATAATTCAAAAACTTTCCAGACATTTTTTTATTAGGAAATAGAAAGGAAAATCCCCTCTATTTTAGGCAGTAAAACATGCTGTCAAAATTCAGGTGGAAGATTCAGTATTAACCCCGTTTAGCAGTTACATTAATGGATGAAGCACTTCATCCATTAGAGGGCAGTAGTACATACGCAAAATCAGTGTTACAGCAACGAGAGGCCTTTTCCTATCGTTTACTTGTCTCACTAGCATGTATGCATACACACAATGATACAAAACTTAGCGTCGCCTTAGATCATACACACACTTTAAGTGTCACAACTAAAAAAAATTAAACCCAACAAAGTTAGAGCCGATACCTTAGTTTAACAATGAATCAGAAATTATACATGGTCAGCTTTGGATACAGCAATTTTACTTTAAGGCAAGACAAAACACAGCATTACATGCTACAACCCGAGATCAAAAAACATCTGTTTCTTCAACAGTAATCATCTCCCAACAAACCCCCGCTGACTTTGGAGCCTTTCCACTCTACATAATACAAAAATTACTCTTTTCTACCCTTGATTGTTTACAATGTAAGGATAAAAATTGGCTGCCAATTGGAAAAGTCAAAAGCAGGTATTTTTACAAAACAGCAAGGTGCATTCAGTTTGAATTTTATCAGCATCTTATGAATTCACATTGTTTACACTGGGCATTTTCAATCCTTGATCCTACAGTATCTTGTTATTGGTTCAGCTTCCTCAGATTAAAGCTTGAAATAGCTACAGGCTCTAACACACACCACAGATGCAATTTCTAACATTCTCCCTGCCTCCTTCTCTTTCCTTGATATTTTCAGACTTCAGAAGTAGTGTGGCACAACTCCAGAGAGCAGTGAATACCATATGTCCCGCCTCTCCTGAGTCTCACTAGCACAGTAATGTATTTCAGTGAAGGTCTTGCTTTCTATCACATTAAAATGCTGATGATGCACTGGTAACATTAAACATCTGAGATAGACACATGGTTTAATTGCTTCTGCATCCAGTGCAGACATGCATGGACGCTGAGGCACACCAAGACTTCCTTTGGGTGGTTTTGACACAACAGCAGCAGAGCCATGACTTGCACATGTATCTGACATGCTACATGCTAAACATGTAACCCATTTTTGTCCTTTCCACTCAGCAGACTTCCTCTACCACATTTACACTTTCTGGTTTTGTACGAGTACTGAAATGACTGTAAGAGCTCATGAAGAGCACATGCATTGATTTTTTTTAATTTATTTTGTGCACATCTTTGTATTTAGTAGCAATTGCTATGACAAAGGGGTCTGCACAGTATATTGCCTTTGCAAAAGACTAGTGCCTTCTAAGGAGAGTAGATCTAAATTTATGTATCTGTGACTGTGAACTGACATAGCAGTTTCTTTACTTCTTGTTTTCTCCTGTGTATGTGCTTTACCTCCTTTTATGCTTACTGTTTCATTTAAAAAAACCCACAACTCAGATCTGGCATTGTAAAACACTCCTGTTCAATAAATCAGGTCAGCACATGCTCATACCCTATTAGAGACAATGAAATTCAAAGAGAATTTTTTTGTAAACAAGGCTGTTTTCACACTTCATGTTTTCTTTAGCTCTCCATACTGAAATTTCTCTAGCAATCTCTTTTGCATTTGCTTTTAAGAAACAGAACTCCAAGTAATAAGTGATTATTTTGGTACTGGAGCAGACTATCATGCTACCTTCCAGATTAAGGCTGCATAGTGAGTTTCTTGCATCAAAAGGGTTGTTTGTTCTCTAAAGCTAGCATGAAAGAGAGAAGAACAGGAAAGCAAAGAAGGAGGTAACAGGACAGAGCAGAATGTTTGATCCCAAGGCAGGCTGTCTTTGTTTTATTTTCCTCTTGGGACAAAGTCAGCATACTTATTTTTTTGAGAGTAGAAGTGAAGAAGTGGTTTAGATTGTACAATTTCATTTCTACATCCAGCAATTGCATCCTTGAGGTTTTGTTTTTGGTTTTGGTGGGGTTTTGTTGTTTGTTTGTGTTTGGTGGGGTTTTTTTGTTTGGTGTTTGTTTGGTTGGGTTTTTTTGGCCAGAGGTCATTGATGAACTTGGTAGGACAGACTGAAATCAGATCCCAAGGATGCTTCCCAGTTGCATGTAACTGAGTTAAGCACCTTCCTTGTCCCTCTTCTCCCTGCATGGCAGGATTGTGAATCAGTTCTAGTTCCTGTTACCCTAATGGCAAATTAAGTGTCCTGTTTTGTATCATTTACCTAAAATACTATTGCCAAGGGAACATAAACATTTTACTTTCTGCATCTGTGCTCTGCATCCACTGCTCTTCAACAACTACATCAATAATTCTAAGTTGGTCCATCTGCTGGATTATTACTTTTGAGAAAGAAAAGATATGCCCATAAACCCTCTTCCCCTGCATTACCTAGCCTATTACAGAACTGACTGCAAGTACTCTCTTAATTTTTATTTTTAGCCTCATGTGTTACAATGATTAGAGAGTGAGGGGTTTTTTGCTTATAAAAGAATCTAATTTTTGGATTCTACAAAGGCAATCAGGAAAAACCCACATCTTAACCATGGCACTGACTACCTTGAATTCTACATGAAAATTGGGGTTTTGGGGGTTTTTTTGATTTTCTTAAATAAACCAAGAGGGAAGGAAGAAAATTCCTTTCCCTATAAAGTTATGGTGACAGTTTCAGTTAAACTGTGCAAGATGCGACAGAAGCCTAGGTGCATTATTAATAAAGGACCACGTGCCTTCAGCTATTCAAAACCTGTGCTGTCCAATATGATTATGCGTCAAATCTGCAACAGCTTTGGTTTTGGCTTTGTTAACTGATGGGAAACACTATCTTTACCATCTCTGCCAATAACCTGCTGTATGACTGTAGTTTTAATATTCTGTTGGTCTCTGAACATCCTCCTTCTCCCTCCAAAAACAGTCTATCCTTTTACAAGTTCTTTCATTCAGAGATTCTGTGCCAAAAAACAAACAAAGTTTGTTTGCAATAGTTAGGACAGCTTGCTTTAACCTCAGGTTGGGCCTTCCAACTCCCTACTTTAGAAGACTTACTAGAATTGATAGACTAGCTGACTAGGACAACATTACCATAGTCCGGCTAGAAAATGTGCATCATATTCTTTACACTAAATTGTTCTAATTATCTGAGATTAACAAGATAAGGAACTTCAAACTCCAGAGACTTACCTGTGTCATTGCCAATACAGTCTATTATCAGGCATATTCCTAAAGGTTGACTTTGCATTCTGTACTGATCATCAGACACCTGAGAAACATGAAGGACAAATACTGAGTTAATATGTCACTCTCTCAATTTACAGACTTGATTCTTTTCTCAAATGTAACCACCTCAGATCTATTCAATTACATTCTGTTGTTTTTCCATAGAGTAGCTAGCAGAAGTCTATCTACTGGGATGTAGTGTCTTATCTACACAACAAAACCAAAAAAAATAAAAATCAGGAGACATGGACTAACGATTTTTTTTCCTATTTCCAGTACAAGCTTAATTTTTGCCTCCTTGTGTCATGCAATCTTACTAGGACAATGATGCTTAAATAAAGACTAAGACTGTACCAGAATGAGAAGCAAGTTTGAGACTGAACCTTAACTCTGGACAGATCTTCAAACATTAAAAAACCCACAAAACAAAAACAAACAAACAAAAAGCCCTGTATGGGGTGGAGGGGCTTTTTAAAGACCTAGACTATGACAGCAGTGATCCTTCTATAGTACTTCCAAATTTATTTCTTTAAGCGTGACTGCTATTGAGATGTTGGGAGCTATAAGCTTCATATTGCCAACACCATAAATATAGAGAAATTTTGTGTTCTTCAGGCGTGCAAACAAGCACTGCTCACCACAACATTTATTTCCTCATTTAGTGGAACAACCTCCTTGTTCCTAAATAATCTGTAATGGCTCTATCACAATTCCTCTTCCCTTTAAAAAGATTACAATCAATTTTCTATGGGTAACTCCCTGATTCCTGGCCTATAGGAGAGCTAGTGAAAATAGCAGTAGTCCATTCTTATCATTAATAACCCAAAGCATGTGTGTCTTCTACCTGGAGAGCAAGGGGCAGGGAGAGAATAAAGAACAAAATTTACTGCATGCAAAGAAGCCCTGCGATTTCTAATGCAGATGGCAAAAGGTCTGACTTCCAACAGGTTTTGACTTAGCCTGCACTAGTAAATACACAAGTTCTGTGTGCACATCAAATGTACGTGCATTTTGCACACTGCTACTTGCAGAGTAGCAGCACATATTCTATATTAAAAATATATTCTGCAAAAGCAATTCACAGAACCTGTTTATGGCTCACAAAGATATAGATGTACACATTATTCAATTTGCATGCGATTAAAGGGAATCTCAAAATGAAACACAAAGAAAACTAAGGTAAATACCTGCAGAGGTTTTTGTTATATTTACATGCATACATATGCACAAGCACATACCTTATGTGACACTGGGCCTGATTCCTGAATGGACACGTGGACTGGTTCTGCTGCAGTTAAAACATACAGAAGTAATCTCAGTATGTAGGTACCAGTGACATTTCTTTGACATCAGATCAGTTAGAGGAACCTATCTGGTTCAGCCAAGTTCTCACTCATCTGGACCTCTTAGTTTCTACGTATGCTACTGAAGCCAAAAAATGCAAAAATTTTCACCTCTAAAATGTTATATGGATTGCATTCTGCATTGCTTGTGACTAGGTTAAACAAACAAACAATTTGTCCTACACTCAGAGAATTCACACAACTACTCTTTAAAAATCACCATATCTGAGAGGTATTTTGGGGTTCCAGAGAGAACACAACACACATGGTAAGAACCTGGTACCCCCTGGACAACTTCCTGGCTGGCCTGGTGGAGAGTTCACCACTGAACTGAGTCAAAAACTTCCTGTTCAAGACTTAGTGGGCACAGCTGCACCACACAGGCCTCAAGAGCTGGCTAGTCAACCTTTTCCATGATTTTATTAATAAACTACTTATTCTGTTAAAAAGTTGTGACAGTGGAAGCCCACAACAATTTCAATAAAGTTTTAAGATCTGGCAGCACAAGCAAAGCAAATCAAGAGCAAACAATAAGGAAAGGCTTAGTTTTCAGAGGTACCAAATACTCTCTGCTCCTGGTATTATCAACAGGATTGATTAGCCATAAACACAACTATCAAACAACAGTCCTTTTGATACAATGAAATTCATTGTTTGGCTCTTTTAGATTATCAAAACTCAGATAAAATGCTCTTACCCAGAATAAGACTTTGTCCATTTTGCGATTTTTCGTTGTTCACATTCTGGATCTAAAATGAAAAAAAAAAAGGTGTATTTTCCCCTCTCTCCTTCAAGAATTAATAATCATGTGTTCCAAAATATAACACAATAGTATTTTTCTTCCTCAATAAAAGGATTACATATTTTAGATTCACATCTGTCAGCTAATTAGAGTTACAAAATAACAAGTAAAAAAAAACCCTAACCAAAACCACAAACAAAAAACCCAAAAACATTCCTTCTCTGAAGAAAGTTACCAGCTTGCTATGAACAGCAAAGGAAAGCTTATTCCCCTAACATAGTAAAAGAAACAAAACCCTCTGAAGATGTGAATTTTGTTTCCTAAAGAGCAGCAGGGAGGGATTTCCACTGAATTAGAAAGGAAATTAGAACAGTATCATCATAATATGGAAAGTCAATGCATACTCTTTCTTATTAGTAGTCTGGAAAACAAAGCTATTGTGGCTTTGTTAGTAAAGACAAATTGCATCACTGGTGTCTTGTATGTAAGCTTTATACATACATATTTACTGAACACATGACAGAAATAATATCATCAAATTCATTTAGCAAGGATAAAGACTTTAATATCATACCATTACAATATCATACCTAACCCAAATATAAAGAATACTGCATGCAATAGGATTTGATGACTTTTCACATACTGAGACATCTTTGTTAAAATGAGACTAAAACAAACCACAAAAAAAAAAAAAAAAATCTGAAAAGCGCTGCTTAAAAAGCCATAGCCTTCAGCTTCCAAAGTTAAAAAGCTACTTTCCCCGTGAAGTCCAGAAGTACAAAAAAAGAATAATATGTTTTGCAAAGAACACTCAAAGCAAAACTTCTCACTCCCCAGAGTAGTAGAAAAAACTTTCAAAATACAGATTTTATATGTCCAACTAATAGGAAAAAAATTCACAGAAGCTCTTTAAAGGGAATCTTTCTCAGTCAGAAGATTTAAATCAGACCCTAAACCCAGCAAATAACAGGAATAAGAGGAATAAACCAAGTAATATTTTATTTACTAGCAATCCCTCATTCCTTAGGCTCTGCAAAGATGAATACCCTTTCAATGTCTGGCAATATTTAGAAATAAAGTATCTGTCTGATTTATTGTATACTTACCCCTGAATTATAAGGAGGATCAATCAGACTGAGATTAGGGAGAGATGCCTGAAGTGCATTTACATATACTGGCTGAGAATGAACGGAGGACATTAAAGCTGAAAATTTAACAGAAACACACAGAAAAATACACCATGATATATCAGCTGTTTAAAAGCCTAAATCTGTGAACACTCTGCGAACACTCTGACTTGTAACTCATAATTTTATCTTCAGTAAGAGCACGTCTGATCCTTGCTATCAAGAGTAACCAAAGCAAAACCAGCATCTTACCTTCGTGTTTGTACTTCTGAATCTTCCTAATCAGGTCTATCCTGTGAATATTTTGAAAGCAATTTTCTATCAAGTCCAGTTGATTAGGAGCCACCAAATTTAGTTTCTCCAAGTCAATCACAAGAGCTAGAAAACTCTAGAATAGCAACAGAAAACCAAACTGTCATATCAGTAATTTGTTCTCTATCGGCAAGTAACAAAGCAACCCAGAAAAAAAACACGGGGAGGTCATAAAGGCTGTATATTCATGAACTAGGGACATTACCTTCTGAAACACTAAGAAAATTATCTGGAAGATATAAGAATTCCGGGTATTATCATAGGAGTAATGGAAACTATAAAGTGATATTCTTAAAAACAAATCAAAATTTTTGAGGAAACAGTTTTGCATTTCCTTGTTGCTACAAAGCCAGCCACTTGGAATGTCACCTCACATGCCACAAAGCAAGAGGTAAGAAAAGCTTTGAGGAATTTGCAGGGCCTCTCTCCTTCTTTGGTTAAAGAGAGAAAAAGATAAAAACTCAAAGGAAAAAGACAGAAATCTTCAGTCTTCTATGCACAGTGGTCAAGTTTTCTGAACCTTCTCTACTGAATCTCTGCATTCTCAGAGCACTTAAAACAAATACTCAGGATGCAAATGTACAGAGAAAGACATAATTAAAATGAAACTGTTCTTTTGTAAGTGAAGCAGAACACAAACATAAAAAGTGACCTTTCATATAATTATTGGTTTGAGATCCTTCATATATGAACTTTCAGATGAGTAATACTGAAGAAAGATTTTTTTTTTTTTTAATGCCTTCTGCCTGTGAGGTTCATGCTAACACTATTCACTACAGCAAGTCTTCACTGTTACCTCTTACTGTTTCTCATGCTTCTTGAATTAAAACAAAACAAAAAATTAAATAGAAGCCACTACTCCTTCTCCATTTCCTGACTTCCGTCTACTCCTGCCTCACTACCCCTTGCAGTACTGTCTCCCCTCCTTTGCTGTCTAGCTAGTTCCCTTTTTACTTGAATCCCTCATTGCTGCAGAGGAAAAGACCAGCAGAAAAACATACCTTATCTTTTGTCATTTTCATACGAGGTACATAATCTCTGAGTAGAAAAACAAGAGAACCCACTTCTTCTTTTTCCAAATTCTCATTAATCTCTATCATTAGTACCCTGAAATAAAATTGAGATATTTCTAAAGGATTAGCTTTCAACAAGATCGCACCATTCCCAACTACCCAACTTCTCCCACGTTACAGTCTTAACGTACCATTCCCAATTAAACAACATGAAAAAAACCTACCCTGCTCCAAGATCCAGTTACAAAATACCTACTGTTGCTAATCAGCACCTGCATTACTCAGACTGACTGTGTAATAGTCACTGCTACGAGAACAGAAGTCTCCTTAATATTTCAATAGAGATGAAGTGAGAGATTGAGACAACAGAACACACGTTTAACTTTTTTACCTAGTAGTTACAGGGTTTTATTTCAGTGAGAAGTTAACACAGGAAAATCTTCCTTATGAGTACCTGCATTTCTTTTTGAAGTCTCTCAAAGAAAATAACTGGAGCTTCTTAATTTAAGCCTCTTAAAACTACAAAGCAAAAAGTAGCAAGAGACAGGTCCCCTAGGAAAAGTTATACTACAAGGCTATGTGCCCAAAGCAAACTAGACAAGAAAATAACTGTAACTAATGATGTTCCTCTAAAGCGTCATTTCTATCTGCTAATTTAGAACTGTACAAACATCACTGGTTTTATTAATTTTTGAAGTCTCTCAAAGAAAATAACTGGAGCTTCTTAATTTAAGCCTCTTAAAACTACAAAGCAAAAAGTAGCAAGAGACAGGTCCCCTAGGAAAAGTTATACTACAAGGCTATGTGCCCAAAGCAAACTTGACAAGAAAATAACTGTAACTAATGATTTTATTTTTATTAACACACAAACTCCTTAAAGATAGATGCTCCTAATGCAGTGACTTGTAAGAAGCTACTAAGGCTTATTTTAGGGACTAAAATCGACATACTCTTTTCACTATAACTCTAGATATAATGCCCTTTTCTGCCTTTCTTTTACCTTCAAGATGAATTTAAAAAAGAAACACCTCCCCCTCAAAAAAAACCCAACAAACAAAAAACACACAACAAAACAACCCACACACATTTTGAGCAAAACAGAGCAGCCTTGAAATCTGAAATAGATATATTACCTGTAATCAGGGACAAGTCTGAGACTCCTGGCAAGGTTAGCTTCCACTGTTGCTTTCTCAGTCTTCAAGATCCTCCTCAGCAAGTCAAACCTCTTAACTCTGTACAACAGCTCAGACAAGCCAAGAAAAGACAATTTCTCCCTCTCATTCAAAGCCACCAAAAGCTCTCTAAGGTCGGCAGTGGCCAAGTCAGGAGCAAGGTCTCGGCACAGGAAAACCATCATCTCTTCTTCTTCTTTATCCAATTCTTGTTCGATCTGATGAATAAGGACAGCTGGCACTTGACACCTGGTCATCACTTTGTCACTGTCCCTTTAAAATTGCCAGCCTACTGTTTTTTAAACAGGAAGCCAACATGACATGAAGCCCGTGTCTACTACAGCACTTCTCTGGTGTTCATTCTTAACTAGATGCATTTTTACATAAGCAGTTCTGTGGGAGAGAATTAAAAGGTACTAAATCAGTGATCTGCTGCACAAGTTCACAGTTAAGTCTCTGATCTGACGTATTTCAGTTACAACTAAAACAGCAACGTAGTCTACACAGACCTCCTGTTCTCAAGGGGTTCTCCCAGCTGTTCATTACAGAACAAAAAGCACTTGGTAGGTCATATTAATCAGAAAAAAATGGAAGTTCTTTTTAGAGTAAAATTACCTTAATACAAATCTGTAAATTCCATAGGAAGTGAAACAAAGTCATCAGCTTGCTAATGAGTGGTATTTCAAGTGTTTCTGGAAATAAGAGTTATGTTCCACAGCAAATTAAGTCTAAAGCTCTGACCTCTTCCCAGCAACCCTCTACCCCTCTGCTCACCACCACATTTCTCTCCTAAAAGTCTCAAGGCATTTTTCAGGAAGAGTTTTGGGAGCTAAGAGGTAGTATAACCACACATTGTAGACAAAACAATTAAAAAAACCCCACATATAAAACTACTGCTATCAGGCATGCACTTTGCCTTAAATGAAGCAAAAATAAAGGAAATATTCATAATATAATATGTAATATTATATTTATTAACTATATTAATTTAACTATCAATTTAATTATTAATTATCTATAAATTCAGGAATTTCTTACTTACTAGCGTAATTTAAAGTGATTCCAATCTGAATGAGTTACTGGAGTTTTAAGGATTCCAGACACACCCCCTCCATACTCAAAAAGATTGAAGAACCACGCAATGAAAAAATTTCAACCTTGGGTATGCAAATTGGTTAACTCTGAAGGTATAAATAAGTCATAGACTGCCTTTTTCTTCATGTGACATTTGTGTTTCACCATACTGAAAACTGAAATAAAAATTCAAACCTAGAAAAAACCCCACCCTTGTGATTAACAAAATAAGTAGGGTGCTATGCTCAATTTCTGCTGCCACCAACTATGGAAATTCTATCTAACCTTCTCGGATCCACATTGTCTACATGGAGAAGGGTGAAATGAGCAACCCAAAGACAAATCTTAGCCCTTACAAGGAGTTCAGTCACGATACTGCATAGTTTTGTTTAAATCATTCTAAAAAGCAAAAGCCAATTTGACTTCAAAGCCTAATACACTGAAAGATCCTAGCACCTGGATAACATTTTTTTTAAAGCATTTTGAGCCTTTTGTTACACATTCTGGAAGTTACAATCAACAATGTCACATATTGTGTCCATGCATTAAGGAAATGAGATAAACTCATCTGCAAGCTTTTTGTTCTCTGCCTCCTCATTCCAATGCTGTTCAAATGAAAAATAACTCCATACATCCACCTGACTTTTCTCAGAAAGAAAGTAAGAGTTGATTTGATTAAACCCATGGATTGGGTTCCACTGCCCACTAAAACAGTGTATCAAATTCAAGCTCCTAGGGTAAAGTCTCCTTTATCTACATCTATCCCAGTGAGCCGTATTTTCTGTGGAGTCAAAGACTGCAGTGGCTTTCTCCTCCAATGCTGACAGTCACAATAGCAAGGCATCAGTATTTAAAAAAAGAAAAAAAAAAAAGCACTGTTAATCTTGCTGATAGCATGTCTGAACCACTAGGGGATTATAACACAAGTAGCTGCTATGACCTCAAGGTCTCACCTTCAGAAGCAAAACAGAAGAGGGAGGTAAGGAAGGGTAGCACAGGCAAGCTGTAAAATATCATAAACCCACCACATTAGAAGACCCAAGCATTACTCAGCTTAAGTATTCCTGCACTTCCATACCAGAGTGTAAACGAGATCTAATGTATATGCAGCACAGTCCTCAAAATGGCACTGAGGCCACTTTGGCTCGTTTTCAGAAGTGCAGAGCATTCAACTGCAGCTGACAGTAACAAGGTTGCTTAGCCCATCGCCACCTCCTATGTGCGTTCTGCACAGATTGTGCTAAATACCTAGAGAAAATGCACAATTACAGTACTCCTGCAACAGCACACAACCAGAAAAAAGCAACACCTACCCTCTCTGATATAGTTCTGTTCTTCAGAACCCAAAAGGGACAGGCACAAACACAGGGTTTTCCTTCATCACATCACACCATTTAGGAACTTCGGAGAATTAAATACACTGTTTGCTCTAAGAAGTGCAACAACATTTAACTCTAATGTAAACACTGCAAACAGCAGAAAAACTCACAAACAGAAATGAAACATCAATAGAAGCTGCCTCTTTCAAATACCCAGTACCACAATATTCTTAATATAGCAAGCCGAAAAGTTTTGTTTCCAACAAAACCAAACTGATATATAAAACATTTGCACTTTTGAACCTGTCATGGACCTGCAATGCTATCACTTGTACAGCTGGGGTGGAAGGGAAAATTTTCAGGCCTCGGACAAGCAGAGGAACCCCCTCAGGCACTGGAATGCGTTTTCTACAGTTTTCCATCAGAGGAAAAGCATATTTATTGCCAACTTCTTAGTTTCAATCTAGCATCAAACATTTGTGATAATTCTACAGAAAGACAAAGACTGTTTTCATGACATGATGCAGTCAAGAAGGGGGAGGCACAAAACACTCTCTCATATGAAAGCATCTCCCAGGTACATACAGCTGGGACTTTCAAAAGAGCTTGAAGAAGTCATATTTATGACTCACTCTAAAGGAAGACCAGAATTTAACAACTTTTGGCTGTTTTCAGAAATCTCAGATAAACTTTTGTTTTGTTTTAAAATACTTTAGTTGATGCTGATTTTTATCTAATTTTTAAAACTAATTAAAAAAAGAGGGGGGTGTGGTAGGGAGGAATTTCCTACAGAGTTAAAATTTCAGACACGCAAAATTACTATTTACGTTATCTTAAAAATAATCTGCCTTTAAGAAACACATATGTATTTTTTATTTTTTGTGAACTTCCTTTATATAAGATAAATCACGTGCTCATTATAAAAAAAAATGCTGATCAATACTTCTAGTACTGAAACTCTTACCTGTATGCAACTCTGTCCACAAGAACATTGGAAGACTGATGTTTGACCATTGCCAAATCACTGATGCAGATCCACCACACATTGGTTTCCATCCAGTATTTTCCAATGATGGTCCATAGACAAAGCTGATTACATCAGCTCATTTTCTGTTGGACAAATATCAATGTCACAAATTACTGCTAGAGGCTACTTCCTAATTTTAGCAGCGAGGAAAACAAAGAAAAATTACTTAGGATCACAGATTCTTCTGTATGATTCCACTGGTCCAGTGAACCAGGAATGATGCTCCAAATAGAAGGAAAAATAACTGCACACATACAGTAATTTGTCAATAACATTCATTCCGCCAGGGTTCTCAGTGGAGAATGAGTAGGAGCAACATGAAGTGTTTAGTATAAACTAAAACAGTTTATAAATCTGTATCCAAAACCCATGTCACCATACTTT